CTATACTAGGGTGTGTGATACCGGGGTTAAGGGTGTGTGGTACTAAATTAGTCCACTACGGAATCTGTGCAGTGCTGGTCATGGCTGGACCTGCTGGGCAGCACTGCCTAAAAGGCTCACAGCCTGGATGAGGTACAAGGGAAAGGCAGGCTTGCCACATGCTGCCTACTACTTCTTGACTGCCTTGCCAGGAACTGTTTTTTCCTATGATGCCTCTCTGCCATGCTGTACTGCCTTGAAGCCTGCTGACTATGGACTGAAACCTTTACAAACTGTGAGGTGAAATAAACTTTTCCTTCTTTAACTGTGGATGTCAGGTATTACATCTCTGCAACAAAAAAGTGAAAGAGGAGTACTACTCTGCCATAAAAAGGATAGTGTGTTGTTTCTGCATGATGGAGTACTATTCTGCCATAAAGAAGGATAAACTTGATGAGATAGGTTGGTGCATGCCTATAATCTTAGCACTCAGGAGGTTGAGACAGAAGAATGGCCTTAAGTTTGAGTTCAGCCTGGGCTACATAGTGAGTTCAAGGCCAGCCTGAACTTCATAGACTCCAAAAAAGAAAAAATTGAACCTCTCTTCTTTTAAGTCATGAGTGTCAGGGATTGTGTCCCACTGACAAGAAAGTGACTGAGACAAAAAAAAGATAAACTACTCATTTAAAGAAAAATAAGTGTACTTTGAGACCATAATGTTGAGTGAAATAGACACACAAGCTTAAATACTGCATGGTTTCTCTTATATGAGAAACCTAAAGTACAAACAATTTAAAGAACAAAATACCAGGTAAACAACAGGAAACAAAGAGACAGATGTTGACAAATCAGAAGGGGACCAAAATATGGACAGGAGCTAAGAAAAATGAAGACGTGCTGTACATGTATCAACTGCCCATGATAAATACAATTATGATGCTCTACAAGGATATACTAATCTAAATTATGAAAAATACAAAAAAAGGGAAATAGTCCTTAACTATGAAATTAAGCCTTATTAATATTTAATGTGTGCAGGGGCTGAGGATTTAGCTCAGCGGCATAAGTGCCTGCCTTGCAAGCAGGCAGTCATGAGTTGGATTCCCGGTACTGAAAAAGACAAAAAAAAAAAAAAAAATTTAATATGTGTGAGCCAGGGATTTCGCTCAATGATGTAAGCGCCTCCTGGCAAGGGCAAGGTCGTGAGTCTGACCCCTGGTACCCCCCCCCCAATTTAATGTGTGTCAAAACTAAAACTGATCTCTAAGGACAAGTTCCTCTGTGTCTCTCTCTCCACAGTACTAGGTCTCACAGGTACTAAGCATGCTAAGCACGCACTCTGTCACTGAGTCACGACCCCAGCACTCAGTTCCTTTGTCTCTTTTTTGGAGATAAGCTCTGGTTATGTTTCCTAAGCTAACCTCAAACTCCTGGGCTCAAGTGATTGTTCTAACTCAGCTTTTAAAAGATGAGAGTACAGGCACACCCCACCATGCCTGCAGACCATTTTCTTACAACGCTCTGTGCCTTACTAATACAGTTCTCACACAGGATTGAAACTTTTTTTCTGCAGTGCTGGAGATGGAACACAGAGGTGCGCTACCTACCTCTGACATTTTTTTTCTTTGAGACAGGTTCTTATGATGTAGTGAGGTTGGTGTGAACTTGTGATCCTTCTGCCCTGTTCTCCTGAACAGCTGTATTAAAGATGCACGCCAGATGCCCACCCAACACTGACTGAAGCTATTTTAAATCTGTCTTTCGTCTGTTAGACTAGATTTTTTTTATAAGAATACTAAATCAGACATCTTTGAAAAGTACTATGTAACTTTTTTTAAAATGAGCCAACATCTCTGTTGATTACTGCAGTTCAATACAAAAGTCTAAATTCAAAGGTGAGGACAAAAGTCTAAATTCAAAGGAGATACAAATTTAGGAGTCATCACATAGTGGCACACACTGGTAATCCCAGTGCTTGCCAAGGCTGAGGCAGAAGGACCGCCACCAATTCAAAGCCAGTGTGGGACACATAAAGAATTCAAGACCAGCTCGAGCTACATAGCTAGACCCTATATCAAAGAAACAAACACACAAAAAGAAAACCTGTAAGTTTCAGGACCCAAGCACAGAACGTATCAATAGTTAGAGGGTTGGCAAATGACAAAAACCTAGTAAAGGAAATTGAGACGGTGGCAGTAAGAAAAATGGGAAAAAATAAGAATCATGCCAAGTGTAATGCTGGAAGCTAAATTAAAAAAACTGTCTCAAGGAGGAAGATGATCAAGAGCATCCGCTAGCCAGGCATGGTGGTGCATGCCTGTAATTCCAGCACTCGGGAAGCCGAGGCAGAAGCATCACCACAAGTTCAAGGCCAACCTGGACTACACACGGAGTTCCAAGCCAGCATGACAGACACAGTGAGACCCTGCCTCAAAAACCACACACACACATACACAAACACACACACATAATCAACTCCATCAAGTATCATGTTAGGTAAAATAATATGAAGACTAAGAATTAATATTGGGTTTAGCAGACTTACAAAGACCTTCAGAAACTAGAACCAAAGCTTGGTAGGAAATAAGGCTGGGGATGTAAAATCCTTGATGAGAAGTGCATGCTTAGGAAAACGACAGAAGATAAAATGGAGTGGGGGAAATAGTGACGACAGATTTGGGGATTGTAAGGTCAGAAAAGCAGCTGTGCTGAGACCAGAGAGTAAGGGGGACAGACATTTCCTAGTGTACTCCACAGGAGCACGAGGTGCCGGGAAAGACACAGCTTCAGAATCAAACAGTCCAGGGTGTAAAACTCAGGCTCAATACAGCTGGCCGTGACCCTAGAGACACCATTTTCTCAAAAACAAAAGGAAGGTAGAGAAGGAAGGAGAGATGGAGGGAAGAAAAGAAGGAGGGAGGGAAGAAGGGAAAGTAGGAAGCAGTTAGGAAGGAGATGGCCTTCTGCTCTAGCTGAGGACAGTAATACCTTTCTTACAGAGTTAAGGGACCAAAGCAAGTAATGCGTACAGAGGCACAGTCAGCACTTTTTTTTTTTAAACCACCATCCCACATAAATACTAGGTAGTTACAGTGATGATTTTTTGCAGCCTTTAGTGTGGTCTAAAAACAGAGGCACATAAAGCCAAAAAGTAAATGTAACCTAAAAGTATCACAATACAGCACTGAAATAATCCTTTCAGACAAGATTTTCACCACCTAAACTAGACAGTTCCTCTTTGGCAGGCGGAGGGAGGGCTGCAGGGGTTGAACCCAGGGCCTCACACTGAGCTACAGCCTCAGCCCTTCTGATCTTTTTTTGTTTGTTTGTTTTGAGACAGGGCCTTGCTAAACTGCCAAGATGGCATGAACTTGTGATCCTACTGCCTTAGCCTATAAGCTTGGGATCACAGGCATGTGCCATTATGCCCAGAAAAATAAAACAATTCTTAAAAAAGGAGACAGAGCAATCAATTTCGGCTCTCCTTCTCTACCATGATCTATTATTTTTCAGCTTTCAATTTAGTAGTAAAAGAAATAGGAACTTTTGCTATGACTATGTATATGCCTAAAGGACAAAGTTTCAATACGTAAGTTTTCTAAAAAAGGTGTTTTCAACAATGATTCCTAACTTTGGTTGATTATTACATTTCCTGAAAACTTTGTAAAAATACTTATGCCAAGGGTATGGCAGCACACGCCTGTTCTCCCAGCATTCAAGAAGGTGAGGCAGACAGAACACCACAAGAACACCAGCCTGGGTTACACAATGAGTGAAGGTTAGCCTGAACTACACAGTGAGACACTGACTCAAAAACCACTAAAAGTAAAAATAAACACAGCTGTGCCAGGGTCCAACCTCCTTACGGACGGACCATACAGATCTTTGCATGGGTATTCTCTGTACATAGAATGTTCTCTGTCAAACTAGCCACCCCTTAGGATCTCCACTCATTCACTGACCCTTCAGAGAAGCCTTCCTTAGGTCAGATCTCTCTGCTACACATTTCCCTAGGTACCTTCTAGATTTTTAAACTATAAGGTTAGGGGCTGGGGATTTAGCTCAGTGGTGGCAAGAGTGAGGTCCTGAGTTTGATCCCTGGTACCAAAAAAACAAAACAAAACTGTAAGGTTAGAGTATAAATAAATAAATGTAAATAAATAAAAATCTGTAACAGATTTGTGATCATGTCACCACCACATCCATTAGACTAATCTCCTATGTCTTTTTCATCTTTGAACCCAAAAGTGTATCAAGTCCAAGTGATGTTTGTTCAAACTAAATTTAAACCATTAAGCACAAGAAACCTTAAGAAAAGAAAATTTTTACCATTTCTACAGTGAAGATTTCCTCCAAGAACTTGATCTCCCATTAGGTATTCAATTCAACAAGGAACATTCTTAGTTTCGTAGAAGTGATCCATTAGAAATATGTTAAATATCTAAACAGTACCATAACAAGACACTGTTTATTTAGTACCTACTGCTCGCTGTATTTTATAATTATTAATCTTCAGAAGAATTCTGCAAGGTAGAAATAATGTCTATTTTATAAACAAGGAAATGGAAACTCAAAATTAACTTACTCCAGAGTTTGCTTGGAATGAGGAAGCATGAAAGCTGGGTTTTTACCTAGAACTGACTGCATAGAAAGCCTTTCCTCTGTGCCAGTGGTGGTGAACCTAGTCATGCATGTTACAGCAGATTATTTATATCACTGAAAGCTCTAAGAGGTTCACCATCACTGTCCTATACAATTCCCTGCTTCGTATACTAAACATTTATACTAACAGAGTTTAGGCAACTAAGACTTTGATCAGCCTGACGAAATAATACTTTTGTTGTTGTTTTCTTTTGTTTTGTTCTTGGTTTTTTTTTTTTTGAAACAGGGTCTTACTATGTGGCCCAGTGGCCTTGAATTCCTGGTGATTCTCCTGCCCCCACGATAGCTCCACGAGTGCTAGGATTACAGACATGTGCTACCACATTTATGGCTAAAATAACACATTTTTAAGGTCTAACCTTCAAGTGTCCTTCGCCTGTGAGGAATTCAGAGTAACCAGCATCAGTGGCCAGCAAACCTACAAACTGCATGCTGGGCCGTTGCTGTATAAAGGCTTCAACAGCTTTATCTGTCACATGCTTTCTCCCAGAAACATCCAGAGAGACAAGATTGGGTAGGATGTCCTTTTGTTCTAGTAAGCGAAGAGCTATGTCTGATGTAAACTGTTTATCATCTGAGATATCAAGATGGTTCAGATGTCTGAGTTCCCGAACAACATCCAGGATCTGGGTAGTTGTCATTTTTAAACACTTCAAGTGGTGCATGGTTAGTGACTTGAGTCGGTCCCTGCAGGCCAGCAGAGCAGTGATGTCTGTGATTGAGGTGTTCGAGATGTCCAGGCTCTCCAACCGTGGCAGTGAGGCGACTTCAGCCAGGTCTTCATTGTAAAAGAGAACATTGGTGATGCTGAGAGCTCGAAGGCCGGAAAGCCGGCTGAAGCACCGCTCGTAAGGATCCTCCAGGGAGAGAGTCAAGGAGTTCAGCACCAAGCACTGGAGATTCTGCTGGATCCACTTGTTACTGCCAAGCCCGCTGATAATGTCCGTGATGGTGATGTCGGCATTCACACCTGTGGCATCAAGTTCCACTAATTTGTGGTGGCAGAAGGCTTTCCGGAAAGCAACAGCAGAGATCTTCGCTTTGCGAATGCAAGCTCGCTTTAAGCGCATCTGGTTGCCTCTAAAAATCCCCACAGTTCCATCATTCAGTAGACCTGGGGAGACACAAGCAGGACTTTTACTTCGAGAAACAGTTAAAAGCCAAACAGTGCTTCAGAAACTTCCTCAAGGTTTTCCCTGCTCTGGCTGGAGCTCCCGTCACGGGTTCCTCGGAAGGTGGAACGTGCTCTTACACAACGCTACTGTGGCTGCTTCCATGTCTGCCCTACTGAAACAGGTACAAATCGTGAAAATTAAAATAGCTTACTTCATTTAAAAAAGAAAAAGAAACACTTCAAAGACAACTAAAATGTCCACCATACTCTACATTTCCAACTTGTTTCCATGCAACTATTTCATTTGATACCTGTAATTCAGTAAAATGAGGGTATTACTATTACCTACAATTTGTAACTGAGTAACTGAGTAAGCTGAGGCTTACAAAATGGCTCTCCAAGATCACAGAGCTGAGCTAATAAGGAGCAGAATCAAGACTGTAATAGACCTTACTGACTCCACTCGCCCTTGGCTCTCCTAATCTTACTGGACACACAGACAGCTCTCCCTGAGTTTGATGGGGCTGTGCCTGTTCTCATGATGGGCTGTGGGGTGAAGTCTCTGTGAGCCAAGCATGATTTTCCATGCTATCTTCTCCTGTAAGGAGTCTTCCCGCTCTCGAGAGGATAGCTTTATGCAGGTGAAGTGGAGCAGCTATTATTCTGGATACTTAGGTGACTATGAAACAGAACTGCTGATGGGCTTATGGACTTTTATATCATGAGTGAAGTTTAAACTTTGGGTTAAGGTATTTTCATTTGCTACCAATGTATCTCTAGCCTATACTTTAACTTAACTATAACACATTACTATATAAACAAATATATATTATATTCAGCACATACATAGTGCTTATAGCTCATTATTAAACCACTAGGCAGATCTAAAACCTATTAAAAGGACCTAGGAGTTACAGCCCCTCTCTTTCAAATGAATGTAAGTAGGGAAGACACAGTAAACTCTTAAAGAAGTCCCTAATAGATGTACCTGCCTACCACTCCAGAGCGCTACACATACTCTGGAGCCATATCTCAGTGGTATCACATCAACTAACTTACTATGAAGTTAACTTCCTTTTTTTTTTTTTTTTTTTTTGGTCTTTTTCCTTTTTATCAGTACCAGGGATCGAACTCATGACTGCCTGCTTGCAAGGCAGGCGCTTATGCCACTGAGCTAAATCCCTGGCCCCGAAGTTAACTTCTAACTAACTTACTATAAAGAAAACAACAGCCAGGGCCAGGGATTTGGCTCAGTGGCATAAGTGCCTGTCTGGTTAAGCATAAGGTCTTGAGTTTGGTCCCCAGCACCCAAAAAAGAAAAAAAAAAAAAAAAAAGCAACAGCCATGCTGGTGAAAGGTAGTCTAGGAATAGTCTGGGGGTAAATGAGCAATTGGCAGAGAATAATAAAGAGCTTGATGTCAAGAGACTAAGTCAAGTGGGCCCTCAGCTAGCCCCTCCTGAAGATGTAGAACAGGCTGCCAGTGAGCCATCCTCAAATTAGAACGAAGGAGCTGGTGTACTTCCAGCGTTTGCCAGAAGGGGGAGGAGGCGCTCCTTTCACTGATGTGAGCGCCTGGGTGGTGTCAGGGATGAGGCCCAGGCTGACCTAACTCACTTCTCATGCTGAGCCATGTCTAGAGATGAGACGATTTTTAATCCTACTACAAGCAAGAAGAAAAAGTAGCCTTTTATTTAGAGGAGGAAGAAGGAAGGGGATGCCCAGGCAGAAGAAACAAAAAAGTGGAGCCAGAACCAACTGTGGAAGCCGAGGAAGAGGACAACAGGAAGAAAGGTACATCTGATAATCTAGATGACTTGAATTTCTTGGGGTTTTGTTTGTTTTGAGAAAGGGTCTTACTAGGTAGTTCAGGCTGGCCTTAAACTCATTTATGTATCCCACACTGTCCTCGAACTCACAGTGATCCTCCTGCCTCAGTCTCCCAGTGCTGGGATTACAGGCATGTGCCACCATACACTTAGAATTTCCTTAATCAAAAGAAGAAGAAGAAGAAAAAAAGGTATTTGATATTGATGAAGCTGAAGAAAACACAAGGGATCTTAAGATTGAAAATAACATCCAAGAGCAAGCTGAACCACAGGATGACCTTGATATAATGCTTGACAATAAAAAGAATGTCAAGTTCCCAGAAGAGGATAAAATACTAGAAAAAGACAAAGCTTTAGAAGATGAAGACAGCAAAAAAGATGATGGTATCTCATTTAGTAACCAGACAGGCCCTGCTTCAGCAGGCCCAGAAAGAGACTACACACATGAAGAGGTACTGAATTGAGTGTTCAGTATCATTAGGGAGAAGAAAATTTGTCATGAAACCTCCAGGTTGTCTGAATAGGAACCAAGAAAAATTCTTTGGTCAACTTGACAGATATCTGCAAACTATTGTATCATCAACCTGAGTATCACCTTGCATTTTTCTGGCAGAATTGGGTACAAATGGGTCTATAGATGGTAATAATCAACTTACAATCAAAGGAAGATTCCACAGAAACAGGAAATATCTTAAGAGGATACATCAAGGAAATATGTCGCTTGTCACACGTGCTGATCACTGGACACAGTTCTGCAGGACACCCAGTGCCATCTCTTACAATGTGAAACCTGTCATTCTCCATGCTCTATTACCAGTATCAAAACTGGCTTCTAGACAGGCAAGTGAACAATACTGTGTGCCAAAGCTAACTCACTTGCTAATCACCACTGATATTTTTTTTTAATCTTTTTGAGATAGGATCTTGCTATGCAGTTCAGACTCACCTTGGGCTCACTTTGTAGCCCAGGCTGGTCTTGCAAAGAACTTGCAATGATCCTGCTGCCTCAAGCCTTCCAAGTGCTGGGATTATAGGAGTGAGCCACCATGCCTGGCAATCACCACTGATTTTGCAAAGTGTATTTTGAGCAATCAGCTGTACAGTTTTACCATCAGCATACATATATCAAAAACAAGATAGAAAAGCTGCCAAGTTTTTTGGCAAATAGTTGGTGATCTGAAACCCTCGCCAATGCTCAACACTTACTACCTACTTTAACAACTGTCATTGAGAATGATAATGATGGGGTAAAAATGCTCTTTAGAAATTGTTCAGGGTGGCCGGGGATTTAGCTCCAGCATAAGTGCCTGCCTGGCAAGTGTGAGGTTATGAGTTCAATCCCTGGTACAAAAAAATAAAAATCATTCATAGACTTCTGTAAAATGCAAAATAAATTAACATTATTATAACAGTAAAAAAATTAGAACTAATGTATTTTTTAAAGGAAATAATCGAAGATTAGATAATTACAGAAAAGTTTTATAAAAACTGGCATAATGGACAAAAATAAATAATCACATGTTAAGCAACCCATTACACATTCTATTTCAATACTTTTTTTTTTTTGGTATCAGGGATCGAATTCATGACCTCATGCTTGCCAGGTAGGCGCTTATGCCACTGAGCTAAAATCCCTGGCCCTAAGTACAAAGATTTTTATTTTCCTTTTTGATGCTGGGGAATCAAACTTGGGGCCTTGTGGCCTTATGCATACAAGGCAAGAGCTCTACCGCAAAGCCACATTCCCAAACCCCCATTACACATTCCATAGAGTTGTGCTTTCTAATGCAGCAGCCACAAACTGCAAAGCTACTGAGCACCTGAAAAGCTACAGTGAATTCAGAATACCGTTTCCTGTACTGGGATTTGAATCTTGATTCAAACTAAACTACCTTTCTAGCTCCTTCTTTTATTCTTTATTTTACAGGGTCTTGCTAAATTGCTGAGTTTTTTAAATTGGACTGAAACTTCCAATCCTCCTGCCTAAACCTCCCAGAATGTTCGGATTATAGGCATGAACCACTATATCCAGCTCAAGGTAAACTTTTAAGTGCAAAACACATACTGTTTTCCTTTGTTTTGTTTTGTTTTGTTTGAGACAGGTCTCCCTATGTAGTGCAGGCTGGCCTTGACCCTCCTGCTTCAACCTCCTGAGAGCTGGGATTATAGGTGTGTGTAACCATGCCTGGTCACATACTTTGAGTTTGAATACACAATACAACAAAAAAAGAATGTAAAATGTCTCAATAACTTTATATCAATCACATGTTGAAATATACTAATTTGTATATATTGGTTTAAATAAGAATCCTTAAAATGTTTTACCTTCGTGTGTACACAGGTACATGCATGTATGGGTTGCTGGGAATAGAACCTATAGCCTCAACTGTGCTAGGCAAGCACCTCACCATTGAGCTACACCCCCAGCCCTTGTTTTTAGTGTGGTCACCAGTCAATATAAACTGTTTCTACTGGATAGTGCTAATCTAGAGATAGTCTTTTAAACTACCTAAACTCTGTCTCAGGGGATAAATTTCATGATGGGGTTCCATCCACTGAACAACTTTTTCATGCGTGTGTTGTTTTTCTTTTTTGAGACAGGGTTTCACTGTGCAGTTCAGGCTGGTCTTACACTCACTTTGTAGCCCAGGCTGGTCTCAAACTCATAGTGATCCTCCTGCCTCAGAGTTTCAAGTGCTGGGATTACAGGCATGCACCACCACACCTGGACTTTTATGGTTTTTTGAGTCAGGGTCTCTCTGTGTAGTTGAGGCTGGTCTTAAATTCACTATGTATCCCAGGTTGGCCTCCAACTATGGTGATTCTGCCAGCTTGGTCTCCCAAGGGCTGAGATTATAAGCGTGTACCACCATGCTCAGTCAATGAACAACTTACTGTATGTAGGTCAAGCAGTATTAAATATTGTAGATACAAAAAAAAGATACGCCTCAATACTTGATTTATAATTATACAGAGTAAAAAAGACACAACCAACCATAACAAAAGGAGATGTATGTTATACCAGTACCAAGTACAATAAAGTAATCCATTATAACTGGACATCTGGTACAGACTGGACATTCAAAGACAATAAAAGAACTCAAACATAGAGACAAAGTAAAAGCAGAATCAACAGGAAAACAGTCCATATGAACAAAATCTTACAGATATGAAGGCACATTACATGGCTAGAAAACAGCAAGTAGTTCCAGATTGCTTGAACGTATGAAAAAGAAAGCCTGCAGCCATGTTTCTCTAATAAAGAAGAAAAGAAAAACACAGATGAAGATCTAGATGTGAGAATGTACTGCATCTCTTGAGATACAAGCATGCAAATGGAGAGACAAGAAATGAGGCTGGAGAGGTGAGCTGTGAACAGAATACTATGAAAGGTAAATGAAGCAGTCCAGCTGGAGACCTTGGGACCCCAGGGAACACACAGTGGGATCCTGGGTGTCTTTCTGGTCATGTATCCTACACCTGAAGTTGAAACTAGCCCCACAGAAAACACCAGTGAGCACAGACAAGCTCCAAAAAACTCTGCTCACACCAGCCAAAGTAGCAGGGAAGGCACAGTCAGCGAGACAGGACATTTTTTGGACAGTAAGTGTTCTACTTCAGCTAAATGTCATGGCTGGGGGAGGACTGTGACCCCAACTCCCGTCTGTGCCAGCAAATGCTAAGGGTACCTAGGTTTCTACCCTCACAGGGCTGCAACTGCCCCAGTCTGCCCAAGGGAGGCATGAGCAAAGGAAGGGTAAGGAGCCAGGCCTTTAATCTCGACCATCTGGTAAGCCCCCTTTGCCCCTATGGTGTCATGGAAGCCATTTGGGAAGCCCTGGCTTGAACTTCCACCCAGCAGTAATGAAGTCCTCCAGTCTCCCACTCTGGGTAACATCATAGGAAGCCTGGGGAGAAGTTAGGACTTTTATGCTACCCAGCGGTAAGGAGATCACTGCTTCCCAACGTGGTGTCAGGGATGGGGAATCTGAATGATCTATTCCTCTCCCTCTCAGCTAGAGGTATCACTGGAATTCTAGTGGAAGCCAGAGCACCAACTCCTACACAGCATTATCTGAAACACTTAGGTTTCTATCAAAAATTACTTATTCTACCAAGAACAGAATAAAAGATAATAGATGTCAACTGAAGTAATAGAAATTCTTAAATTATTTGATGAAGATTTTAAAGGAGCAATGATCAAAATGCAGATATATTTTCAAAAGTGAGCAATTACTCTCTTTTGAAACAGATGAAAACCGGGAAGGTTCCCTAAAGAAATAGAAAACATTAAGAATCAAATGAAAATTTTACAACTGAAAAACACAGTACCATTGGGCTCCAAACCAAATTTAGGGAACACAAAGAGAAATCAGTGACCTACGAGATTAAAAAAAAAATCCAAATTTAGACAGCAGGAAAAAAATACACTAGAAAATCTCCCTATATAAACACACAAAGCTAATCTCCTAAATGGTTGTGTAGTTTTGTGGGGGACTTTTCAGCATATATAGTACTTACTGAAATTCACCCTTGTTCCTACAGCAGGTTGGAAAACTTCAAAGAGCTAATAGGCTTCAGCAAACTAGTAAAACCAAGGAGTACAGAGGTCTCCTTTCCTAAATTATTAAAAAAAATCCTCAATTATAGCTCTATCTCTCCCTAGCTCTTTCCTGGATGCATTTTCTGCACATACATTGAACAGTGTTTTTTGTATACATGTAGTCACATCCAGGGATTTAGCTCAGCAGCACAAGCACCTGCCTGGCAAGCACGAGGTTCTGAGTTGATTCCCAGTACCAAAAATAAACAAATACATAGATAAATAAGACCTTTAAATAGTGTAATCCTTTAGCTGGCACACAGTAGTAGGGTGCAGGAAGGCTGAGCGGCACAATGGGAAAAGGGTATATGCATAGATACAAAGACCTCCGCCCACACTGTTCCCTAGCAGGGTGACTGGCAGGAAGTGACTGCTCGGAACCTCCATTTCAGTATATGTGTATTAGTGAAAGTCATGATAGCTATATATGTAAAATGCCTGGCACAAAACAGGCAATCTATAAATGATAGCTATTTTATGGCCAAATTTTCATTCTACCCTATAGCTATAAACAAGTCGTGTTCCCCATCTGTAAGCATTTATATGACAAAGGGGCATCTCATTTTAAAACACATAAAAATAAAAAGACTCAATATACAGTTCATAGATGACACTTCTCAATCTAGAATGTGTTTTAGAAAATGCAAGTATTAAGTCAGCCATGGTGCCAGAGATATACAGCTCAACAGCACAGCGCCTGCCTGGCAAGTGCGAGGTCGTGAGTTTGATCCCTGGTATTAAAAAAAGATTAACCATGGCTTCCCATTTTACAGATCAAAGTAGAAACTAGTTTTTCCGTGATAGTACTGATTCTCCCACCATCAAATGAAGATAAAGACATTTTATACCCAAAAATTTCTAAATAGGTATTTTGTAATTACAGAGGTTATTTTTGACACAAATGACTTCTCAAAACAAATGAAAAAAAAACTTGCTCAGATTAGAAAAGAAAAATGCTTATTCTAAACTACACAGTAAGAGGTAGGATAAATAAAAATGAATTCCTTTTCCTAGAATCAGGTTAATTTGCTCTTTTCTTATTTCTAAGAAAATAATTAAATGCCAAAGCAGTACTTCAAAATCTAGTAGTAATTAAAAGCATATAATTTTTGTTTCCTGTGTTTGTTTTGTCTTACCATGAACTGCCATGGTCTGAAGCAGTCGATCAGCCACCTCTTGAGGAAACACCCCTGGTTCCTGCAGACACAAGGTTCCATCTTGCCTTGCTGAACAGAATTTCTCAAGGTGAGTGGTCAGGAAACTCAAGCAGATATCAAGTAATGAGTAAGGAGATGCCTCCTCCTTGGAGTCCAGAAAGAAACATGAAGGGAATACAAAAGGAGCAAGTTAGTTTCCAAAAAAAGCAGAGAAAGAAACAGTCATTTACTCATCCAAAGAGAAAGTGACAGCCAATGGATACTGTTAGACAGTGAGAAGACAATGTTTGAGCCATGTTCCTGGAAGGAAAACAGGTACCAGTAAACAGACATTTACACAGTCTGCTAAATGCCTGTAACACAGCACAGACATACTGAAAGGGAAAAACTGTGCAAGAAAAAAATCGTTCTTTTTTACCAACTTTGTTCCCTTTCAAGCTGCGAAGCTCTGTAATTGCTTCATGGCCCTGTAATTGCTTTCTAGACCCCGTAAGATAATGGTATAACCAAACTTACAAGATGCCTGATTGTATCAAGCTTTGTGGCCACTAATCTAGTCTTGTAATTGATGGTCATTAGGTAGCCTCTAACTGCTGATCTCAGCCTGCTAGCTAATCGGAAGACTGCCAGGCTGTGCTGTCCTGTCCCACCTCTCTATCCCCTGGTCATGCCACATATAAAAATGCTGGCTCACAGACACTCAAGCCTAGCTTGTGTTGGAAGTTACTCCAGCTAGGACCACCAGTGTAAAACAACGCTGCACACTGCTCTTGACTTCCTCGTGTTGTTCCTTTCCTGGACCCAGTTTTGCCACAACAATACTCTACTGTGTACCACTGAAGAGTGTAGGAGGCACTTCTCATCAGGAGTGGTCAGGGAAGAGGCAGAGCAAATTAACCATCCAGAACTACCACTCATGATTCCCTACTACTCACACCTTGAAAGGACTCCCAAGGGCTTCATGAAAAAGACAAAATTTTTGGATAGTGACTTCCTTGTAAAATTTAATCCTAATTTAGTTCTCAATGTAATCTCCCACAAAATTCTCATTCCAATGTGATTATTCAAACCTCATGCATTTATTTGGGTAGAAGAGTTTACTATAGGTGTTATCCACAAAAAGGGAAAAATTTGGCCAGGCATGGAGGCACATCCCTTACAATCCCAGCACTTGGCAGGCTGAAGCAGGAAAGTTTCAGGATCCTGTCTCAAAAGTAGAAAAAAAGTAGGAAATTAGTTCAGTGCAAAGGCTGAGTTCAATCCCAAAAATAGAAGAGGGGAGGAGAAAAGGGAGGGAGGAAGGAGAAAAAGGAAAGGAAGAAAGATTTAACCTAGTCATTTCAGTCTAAGGAATAAAAAAATTAATAAATTGGCCAAGATTCAGGGGTTTTAATTATAAACATTTTAAATGTCCCTAGTAAATGCTGTGCTCTGTATGACCATGACAAGCATTTTATAAGACTTTTCCATTATTTCATTTATTTTTTACCCTAACTTGAGAAGTAGTCAAATATTATCTTCATTGTCATATAAACTGAAGACTTTTCCTCAATGCTCAGAAAAGTTTCATCTTTCTACCTTTCTCAGCTTTTTACCTGCAACATACAGTAAGTAACAAAATGTGGCTTCAAAACAGGAGTTGATCCAGAAGCCCAGCCCTTACCACATCATATAGTGTGTATGTGACTGGTTTGTTTTTGTTTTGGGGTTTGGGTTTGGTTTTTTGAAACAGGCTCTTGATATGTAGCCCAGGCTGGGCCTGAACTCACCACATTCACTACGTAGCCAGCCTGCCAGCCTGGCCTCAATCTCGATGTCTCCTGAGTGTTGGGATTACAGGCATACTGCAAAAGTGACATTTTAATGGCTGAATAATGTGTGGTCACTAAAAAAAATTTTTTTCACTAAAAATTTTTATTCCTTATAGAATACTAATCACATATGAAAATATTTAAATACAAGGTTTAAAAATAATTTATCAAACTTCCTCAACCTGAGCAAGGCTATCTACCAAAAAAACAGTTACTGAATAATAAAAGTCTTAATGTTTTCCCCCTAAAATCAGGAACATGGCAAGGATGTCTGCTATCACCATTTCTATTCAAGATTTTAGCAAGTTTTCTAGCCAAAAACGTATACAGATAGGAAAGGAAGGGGTAAAACTAGGAAGAAGTAAAAAGGAAGAAGTCTGAGATACAGAAAATCCAAACGAGTTTTTTAAGAACTATCAGACTATTAAAAAAAATTGAGTTCGCAAAATTGTAAGTTACAAGATCAATATTAAAAACTTACTGCATTTTTCTGAGAAATTGATAAACTGATTCTAAAATGAATATGGAAATACAAAAGACTTAGAATAGCCAGAACAATTTGGGAAAGAACGAAACTGGAGGACTCACACTTGCAAAGTTGGAAGACTTAACACTCAAAACTTACTACAAAAATAGCCGGGCGTGATGGCTCACGTCTGTAATCCCAGCACTTGGGAGGCTGAGGCAGGAGGATCACCACAAGTTCAAGACTAGCCTGGGCTACAAAGTGAGCTCAAGGCCAGCCTGAACTGCATAGCAAGACCCTGTCTCAAAAAGACAAAAAAAACCTTCAAAAATAGATTAATCAGGGGCCAGGGATTTAGCTCAGTAGTGTAAGCACCTGCTTGGCAAGCATGAGGTTCTGAGTTCAATCCCCGGTACCAAACAAACAAAATATACTTAATCAATTCAGTGTGAGCCAGGCCTGATGGTGTAACCCCAGCAACTGGGAGCATGAATCAGGAGGGTCAAAAGTTGGTGGCTAACCTGGACTACATAGTGAGACCCTGTTTCAAAAAAACAAACAAAAAGTGATAAACAGTGGCACTAGGATATGGACAGACAGAGATCAATGGAATAGAATTTGAAGTCCAGAAATAAGTTACACTTAGGGTCAAATGATTTTCTTTCTTTTTTTTTCCTCCCCTCTCTCTTCAGGCCGGGGATTGAACTCAGGGCCTCGTGCATGCTAGGCAAGTACTCTACCACTGAGATACACCCCAGTCCCTCAAATGATTTTTCAACAAGAGTGTCACATAATTCCCTGGGTTAAAGAAGAAGCAAGTGGTGCTGGAGCAACTGGAATCCACATACAGAAGAATGAGGAGTCCTACTTTACAGCATATGCTACAAAATTACCCCAAAATGGATCTGTGAGACCTAAAACTACTAAACTCAGAGGAAAACAGGTATGACTGTCACTTCAGATTAGTAAATGGCTTACTAAATATGACACCGAGGGTACACGCAACTAAAGAAAAAACAGGTTATGTTAGACTTCATCACAATTAAAAACTCCTGTAGTTCAAAGAATAAAGTAAAAAGACAACCCACAGAATAAGAGATTATGTCACCTATCTAATAAGGAACTTGTGTCCAGATGATATAAAGAATTCTTAAAGCCTGGCATGGTGGTACATGACTGTAATGCCAGCACCCTGGGAGGCTGAGGCAGGAGGACTACAAATTCAAGCCCAGCCTGGGAAATTGGCCAGACCCTGACAATCAATCAATCAATCAATCAATCAATCGACTAACAGAGCTAAAGATGCTATCACAGTGTGAACTTCTTGTGTTCTACCCCTAATACCACAAAAACTTCTCTTACAAAATTAGTTATAAAAAGATAAACTAAACTGGGCATAATTCCACCACTTGAAAGGCTGAGGCAGGAAGATAGTTGTGAGTTCAAAGCCAGCCTGGACTACAAAATGAGATCCTGTCTCAAAAATAAATATAAAAAGATAAGCTAATTAAAAATAGAGATTGTTGGACGTGGTGGCGTACTCCTATAATACCAGCACTCAAGAGGTTGAGGCAGGAGGATCATTTGCAAGTTTGAGACCAGCCTGAGCTACAAGGTGAGCTCAAGGCCAGCCTGAACTACATAGTGAGACTTTGTCTCAAAATGACAAAAAAAAGAGAGATACTGCTCTAAAGAAGCATAAATGACCAGTGAAAGATGCCCAATATCATTTACCACCAAGAAAATGCAAATTAAATTCTCCACGAGCAGCCAGACACGATGGTGCATACCTGTGATCCCAGCACTTGGGAGGGCTGAGGAGGCTGAGGCAGGAGGAATGCCATGAGCTAACGGGCAGCCTGGGCTACATTAGTGAGTTCAAGGCCAGTCAATTACAGAACAAGACCCTGTCTCCAAAAAAAATTCAACGGGCTACCACTCCACACTCACTAGAATAGCTAAAATCTAAATCAGGGCCAATAGCAAGAGTTTGTTTTTTTTTTTTTTTTTTTTTTTTTTGTCTTTTTCCTTTTTATCGGTACCGGGGATCGAACTCACGACTGCCTGCTTGCAAGGCAGGCGCTTATGCCGCTGAGCTAAATCCCCAGCCCCAATAGTAAGAGTTTTAAAATGTATCTTGGAAAACAAGTACGCAGTTCATCAAAATACTTAACATAGTGTTGCCATATGAACCAATAATGTTATGCCTAGATATAAACCCAAGAGAAATGAAAACATGCCTACATAGGAGTTTGTACACAGGGCTAGGGATTTAGCTCAGCAGCACAGCGCCTGCCTGGCAAGCATGAGGTTCTGAGTTTGATTATAGTACCCAAAAAATAAAAAAATTGTACATTGAATATTTACAGAAACACTATTCCCAATAGCTTAAAAAAAAAAATAGTAGTCCAAACTGTTTCTACTCACAACACTACTACCACCAAAAGTGTGGGGTTTCTTCAACACCAAAGACTTCTGGCCTCATTGGGTGTCAGAGTCCAATTCAATTCTAACACTGCACAGACTCAAGGTTCATGGCTCAGCTCCACACACCACCCACACTCCCAATGCGAGTCAGAGTGCCAGGTTTCCACTGACACTCAGCCAGGAACTGGGGGGTTCCACGACCCTCTGCAGAGGGCCTTGAGTTCAATTACTTGCTAGAATGGTTCACAGAATTCAAAAGGACCTTACTTTGTCCTAACCTCCAAGAAGGGAGGAGGAATTGAAGGGTGAGCTACAGGTCAGAGTGAATGATTTAATCGATCATGCGCTTGGAATGAAGCTTCTGTAGAAAACCTCAAGCGTGGCATTCAGGAGCTTCCAGGTTCCAGAGCACGTGGAGGCGGCTAGCAGGGAGGCCACAGA